GTCATATTTTTTTTTTGATTAACTTTCAGTATCATTCCTTCTAGAATTACAGTGTGTTGTGTGCAATGGCACATAAAATGTGATAACCTTCGTTTTTCTCAACTTTTTGCATTAATTATTTCTTTAATTCTATACAATATTTTTATTCTTGTCTGTAATATAAATATGAATGCATTTCTAGTTTATAATATATTTTCATATTGAAGTAATATATTATTGTATAGTTTTCATAATTGAAGGTGGCGCACTACAAAATATGTATCTTTATATTGGTTATATTGTTATCACGAGCTGAGCCTGGTTGTTTTAGGTTTGGTTAGTGTAGGTTGGTTAGGTAGGGCACAGGAAAAAAATATGTACTAAATTTAATTAAAATAAAAAATTAGAGCTCCAATATAAAAAGTAAAGACTGGAATATAAAAAAAAAGTTAATTGAAAAACTAACTTCATATAGTTAATTATTATTTACAATTTATTACTAAATACTATTTTTTTTTTTTTTACTTTAATGTAATTGTATATTTATAACTCATTGTTAAATAAACACTGTCTATAAATAATTAATACCTAATATATGTGTTAAATTATTACAAGAAATGTGTTATATTTATTAATACCTATTAGCTGCTTGTGTTGCATGCTTAGGTTGTGGTTTTAACAATTTTCAAAAAAGTATTTTTTACAATAATAATTTTAAAAATAAGGATTTAATTATGTTTATTTTCAGTGTTTAACAGTATTCATATAAATACACGAACAAAGTAAAAATTTATTGAAGTAAAATTGTAACCTCATAATAAAATTTAGCATATTCAGTTATATTTAGCATGTATGGTGTTTGTTACCAATGAGATTCACTTTTTAGAAATTTATTTTGCGTCCAACTAACTTTTATTTAAATTAGTGTGAGTTAAAATTTATATTAAGTATTATACTTAATTATAAAATGTGATATTTGTTATTTAGACAATTATTTATAGTAGTTTATTTTAAGGTATCAAAAGTAACCTAACATTTTACTATATGAATTATAATAATGAAATGACAATGAATAATTGTAAACATTGTTGTTCGCTAATCAGTGAAAGGACAGACAAGGTTCTCCCTGTATTTGTAATTTTTAAAGATGTAAAAGATTTTGGTCTGTCCATTTTTAAGTTAAATTTGGTAGTAAAAAATTTCTATAGATACCCATGATTGAAAAATATACACTTTCAAGTAACTACTTACATTATGTATATTCCAATACGTATTTAATTAAATTGGTATTTAATATGTTCAAATATTATAGGGTTGGATTACATATGTTTGAAAATAAAAGTAAATTACCCTGATAAGTCATGACAATGTTTACATAAACGGGCAGCTAGTATCAAATAAAATAACAATTTGTCATATAAACAAGGTAGAAACCTGGCAATTATTATTCACAATAATAAATATGAATAGGTTAAAATTTATTCAAACTTAAATTTACAGAAACGCATTGAAAGAAAAATACATTGTTATTTACTATACATAACATTTCGTTGGGTGTCTTAAGCACCTGCAATTGAATAAACTTGGACTGCCTACAGTAATAAAATTTGAAATCAAAGATCTACTATAATTAGATACTCTGTATATTATTTTTAATTTAAAACTGTAGAAAAAACCTTAAATAATAGGGAAAATCACAGCAACACGGAGAAAAAATAGGGTAAACACCAATAATAATAATAACAAATTATAAAACTCACCGTTACGCGGAGAGTAACTGGCCAGCTGCTCCGCCACCTAAACCTAAATATAAAAAACAATAACTTAAATACAAATATCGGCTCTTAGACCACGCAAAAAAAAACTGAATATAAATCAAAACACCCAATGTTAGCGGCGATTAGCGCGCGCTGCTCAATATTCCGTGGCGATTCGCACCACGCGAAATAAGGAATAAGGCGAATTAAAATATATAAACAAAAGGTAACAAAATATGGTAAAACTAGAAAACGTATCCACAACGGTATTGTGTTAGCACGGCGGACGGTAACGGTGAGCGAGAGAGGCGGGCGGCCGTACGTCTACCGCTCGGTCAGACGGCGGCCGGCGATAAAGCGACGTTGCATAAGATCATACAAATAAGCTAAATAAAAACGGTTATTAATTTTTAACAACAAAATGTGTGCGTGCGTTGTGAACCGGTCGGTGGCGGCGTCATTCTCCGGCGCCAACACTGGTACTCGACATTTCCTGCTAACCCGTGAAGTAGAAAATGTTCACAAATAACTAACAAACTTATAAATTGAATAATTCTAATATGTATTGAGGATATGGTTTGTAATTTGTACATGTCAACTCACAATTCCTAACCAGTACCCACAATCCCTGAGCACCCGTGCAATTTCATTACATGATAAAGGACATGGGCACCAGTCACCTTGTAATGCATTTTCTAAAATTTGCAGGCTTAGTAGTATCTCCATTACACAGTCAGACTCATGCGTCGTACTGCCCCGTGTTACCTTTGTAAGTATCTTTCATAGTACTAGAAGCATCGAATTAAATAATATTATTATACTCAAATGTATAGCCTTATAACTGCATCACCGTCATCGTACAATGTTACGAACGCGAATTCTCCGAAAAGTTCGTGTAACGAAACAATGGTCATATCGAGTGACAAAATCCACGACGAAGAAACAATGGGTTTTATCTCACGTATGTCCAGTTCAACACCAACTTCGTAAGTATCTTTCATAGTATTTTAAGTATCGAATTAAATAATATTATTATACTCATTTGTATAGTCTTAGTACTGCATCACCATCATCGTACAATGGTATGGACTCAAACACTGCAAGATGTCGGTTTAACGAACCAATAGTTATATCTAGCGACGATTCGGACGACGACGAAGTCCGAAGTTTTATCTCACGTTCGTCCAGTTCAACATTGTCTTCGTAAGTGTCTTTAATAGTATTTTAAGTATCGAATTAAATAATATTATTATACTCATATGTATAGTCTTAGTACTGCATCACCAACATCGTACAATGGTATGGACTCAAACTCTGCAAGATGCCGGTTTAACGAACCAATAATTATATCTAGCGACGATTCGGACGACGACGAAGTCCGAAGTTTTATCTCACGTTCGTCCAGTTCAACATTGTCTTCGTAAGTATCTTTCATAGTATTTTAAGTATCGAATTAAATAATATAATTATACTCATATGTATAGCCTTAGTACTGCATCACCATCATCGTACAATGGTATGGACTCAAACNCTGCAAGATGTCGGTTTAACGAACCAATAGTCACATCTAGCGACGATTCGGACGACGACGAAGTCCGAAGTTTTATCTCACGTTCGTCCAGTTCCACATTGTCTTCGTAAGTTTCTTTAATAGTATTTTAAGTATCGAATTAAATAATATTATTATACTCATATGTATAGCCTTAGTACTGCATCACCATCATCGTACAATGGTATGGACTCGAACCCTGCAAGATGTCGGCGTAACGAACCAAAAGTCATATCTAGCGACGATTCGGACGAAGACGAAGTCCGAAGTTTTATCTCACGTTCGTCCAGTTCAACATTGTCTTCGTAAGTGTCTTTAATAGTATATTAAGTATTGAATTAAATAATATTATAATACTCATATGTACAGCCTTAGTACTGCATCACCATCATCGTACAATGGTATGGACTCGAACCCTGCAAGATGTCGGCGTAACGAACCAATAGTCATATCTAGTGACGATTCGGACGACGACGAAGTCCGAAGTTTTATCTCACGTTCGTCCAGTTTAACATCATCTTCAGACGTACCTTATGAACATCTATATGACGTCGAGTGATCTCTTGAATGACTTCAATGACTCCGAAAACGATGAAACGATTAGTTTTATCTCACACTCTTCCAGGTTAACATCACTTTCGTAAATATTTATGATAGTATCATAACTAATAATGTTTAATATTTTTAAAAAAAACTTTAAAAAAAAATGTAAAAAATAAATGGCATAGACAAATCGTGTCTACATTAAATGTATAATTATTTATATTTTTGAAAATTTATTTAAATATTTTGTACTGTAAGTAAATATGAAATTGAATAATAATACGTTGTTCACATTTATATGTTTAGCTTGAACACATCATCACTGGATAATTGTATGCAGACATAAGGTTCACAATTTCAGCCATCCGACCTGTGATTTTTTTTTTACTTAATATGTTACTTTTTTTGTTTTTTTGTTTATTACATTTTTTTTACGTTTTTTTTTTTTATTTTTTTGTTATTTTCTTTGTTAATTTTTTTGTTGCTTTTCTTATTATTTTTTTTGTTATTTTATTTGTTACTCTTTGTTGAAATAATTAATAAATTATAAAATTTTACGATTATGTTTCTATATTGTACAGTTTTTACGCAACTGTTACATATAATTGTTACAAATTATATCTGTGTAAGCATAAGTAAAACAGTAAATATTGACGGCGCGCCACGGCGTTACCGTTTTCATTGTTTTTATTATAACACGATGTTTTCTACCAGAGATATTGCTCCAAACTAAAAATAGTATGAGATAGATTTTGATCCTTATAATATATTATTTAATATATATTAAATATAATGTTCACGAACTGTAAGGTTTACAAAACTAATATGTCGAGGGTTCGGCAGAGGTGCAATGCTGCACGTGTAAATTAACTGCGTCGGTATGGATTAACAAACTCTGCGTAGACACACTGGTATCTGTATAATTATAATAAACATATATGAGTTTTGATAATAATTTGCCTATCAACGAGCTCAACTTAAAAGTCCGTCGGCGTGCGCCGCCTTGTTGATGTTGGAAAGTTTGGGCCGCTGAGCTGGTTAGATCCTAAGACCCGAGATCGGTTTAATCAGAAGTTTATATACGCGTACACGGTAGCAGTTTGTTGTTTATCCCCTTACGTGTTTGCAGGATATTACGAGTGTGTCGGGGAAATGGCATGGACTAATATCATTAAGCGTATAATATCCTGTACAGTGCCTCGTTTATTAACAAACCAAATAGAAATAAAACGTCAATAAGTTCACAAGGTGAACACGAAATTCGGTAAATATATACCGACACAAATGGAGATAGTTACAAGCGGTTGGAAAAACGATACGAGACATAGCGCAATATTTACCTGGAAACTACGGAATTAGTTCCTGGGTCAAAAAAAAAAAATAAAATAAAATGTACGAGTTAGTCTCCGATAAAAATGATTACAAAACAGTTTAACACCGTAAAACCGTTTTAATTAGTTCTCGTTCGTAAAAATGTGCTTAAATAATCAATTTAATCACGTTTTATTTATTACGGTAAAACTCAGATTGTTCTTGTATTCATCAAAATCTTAGGAATTTATTAATCAATTAAAATTCGTCATTAAAATTTACCAAACCCATAACCTATAGTTTTTTCCAGCTTTTCGATCTAAATAAAACTTTTTTTCAACAACCACAATCACCACAATCAAAATACTGATTTCTAGTAAGTTTTTCACAGAGTTCCAAGTCTGTATGAAATGGAAAAAAAATTGGTTTGTAATTCTGTTTTTATTATTAAATATGCGTACAGTTAATATGAACCAATTCGTATGCATATAGGTACCTATAGAGTCTATAGGGAATCACTGCTATAGACTATTCGGGAACCGATTCGGTAATTGAGAACCAACTCGTGGGCGTCCGTCATTTCATTGTTGTCCTTCCAAATCATCATATAACAACATGATATCGCGTAATGATCCATATTTTGCATTATTGCCCTGCTACGCAAATTGTCTACTACATAATGTAACCTACCTATAGTGGCATATTTGACATTTATCCCTGCTTTTAAGAAATTTACCCGGCGTAATTTTTGTTTGTTTTTCCGTTTAGTTTTAGGCTTTTGCAGGGGTTCAGATATGGCGGACTTACAGTAGACAATAATGGATACAGCTCCATTAGGTATAATTGTTCAGAAAACTGTGCACAAAAAACAATGTAAAATATTAACGGCATTATTATATTATTTCTAATGGATAATATCGGAGAGCTTAAGTGTTTAAATATGTATGTGTGGGTAGAGCATATTGTTTCGAAAATTTTAATTTATTGAACGCGGATTATTGGAACGGGGGTAACAAAGTGACTACCATAATGTTACGTCAGAAACGACACGAAATGTGAAAAGAACTAGTGACCGTATTATTGAAAACCATTAAAAAAATTACTACTTACGTTTAAAGCGTATTACGACAACAGCGTTTTACCCGATAAACAACTCGATTAGGAAGACAGTATAAGTGCTAAACGGGTGATTGCATTTTAACAAATGCCACAAACGTCAAAAATACCCGTCAACCGATAGACCTATGTTATTTTTATATCGAAGTAAAAACAAATTGTGATCGATTCACCTATAGCTCCACGTGGAGCGCCGTTATGCACGTTAAGGCAAATTGCTCGAGGCGCGGATACTAAAACAATACAAATTCAACAGGATCTCGTATTTTTAAAATATCGTTTTATAAAATCCTCACTAATATCCGAATTTTTTTTTTTTTTGGACAAAATACGACGCAAACTAATAATATTATATTTTGAAAACGGCCCTTAAAATTATTATAATTATATTTAACAAAAACAATTTCCAATCATAAATATAATAGACACAGGAACAATAAGTGGATAATATAATTTTGGTAATTATAATAATAATAATTATTACAGTATTACCATAATAATAATAATAATAAAAAGACGATCATACTCGCAAGTAGGTGCAGCTATTGTTGTAGGTAAAAAGTTGGGAATGTTGGATACAGACGGGAATTTCATGTAGCAACGATGCTTATCTATAAGCAACGATAAACTATTGTTAACGAAAAAACGATTCTAAGCGCAGTTCAGTTGATAGTGTTGCTTTGTCAACTGTATATGTTATAGTATGGTAAAATGATTACAACAATGTGCGTTTCCATAACAACACCGATTGTTTAAATAATATTAAAATAAAAAAAAATTAATAGTAACAAAAAATAAATAAAATCGTTTGCCAATGACAACCTTATTTTAGATTCTAAGTAAAGAAGCGTATGGTTTTACTAAGATGGTTATTTTTTTTTATGTGTAAACAATTTTTCTACTAGAAGACTTGCTCGGATTTCTAAGTGTAGCACCTCTTCTGAAAGTAAATCGGCGTGGGAAGGTTTTTTTAATTTTCTCAAGAGTTTTCTAAGCAAATGTGAAAAACTAAGATATAACATTGGAAAACCGGTAAAAACGTATGAAAACTGGGCAAATCAAAACAACATTATACAAATACTATTAAAGAAAAAAAATAGAGCCTATTTAATTATTTTACTGTAATATGACATATATATTGTTGACTAAGCATTACTATCAACTGAACTCTGCTCAGAATCGTTTTTTCGTAAGCAATGATTTATCGTTGCTTACAGATGTACATTAAATTCTCGTCTGCATCCTACCTTTCCAGCTTCCTACCTACACCAGTGGCTGCACCTGTTATCTTACCTTTTTTTTTTTTAATCTTTTAATCTTTATTAATCTAAAGACCGAGGTTTTCTTCATTATCTCTCATTATCTTCATTATATAAATGAAAATTTTAATAAGTGACCTCTTTTAAGTACCACCTATAGAAAATTTCCATCAGAAAAAGTGCTATACTTAATAATCAGAGCATATTTTCTGATAGAAAAAGTGTTCACATAAACAAAATAAAGAAATAAATAATAATACACCATAATTGTAAAACCATCACATTCTATGCTTCGCTCAGAATCTAAAATAAAGAGACTTATAAGTACAAGTATAAATAAAAATATAATAATTATAAAATCATTCTTAGAATTTGTATCATAAATGCTGATAAATATTTATAAAAGCAATCTGGATTTTTCAATGAATTTCCTGCAGACATCAATACGTTTAATGGTGAGTTTAACATAAAATTTCTTTTGGCATATTTTTATACAAAAATATTCAGAATTCGACTGTTTACATGGGATTTATTTTAAAGTTTGAATTTCGTATATCCACATCCCGCTGAAATCTACAACTTCACACAACACTATGCAATAGTCGTTTTCAATATTATTATAATTAATATTACGACGTTTGTATTGGTATCGTAATAATATTACGTTTCTAACGGGCAAGAAATTTATCAAAACTTTATTCACGTAAATAGATAATATTATTATAGTCTTTACAATCGGTTTCAAAAATGTTTAGACGATTTTTATAATAAGACGTCTTCATCAGGATTTTACGAGTAGAGTCGTTAAATCCTCGACTCGTTTTCAAATGAACACAAAATCGTATTTTCCACGTTTTTTTTTCTTCCCCCCCCTCTTTAACAATTTTAATATTTTTTAACAACAATACGTGTTTCTAAAAATCACCGCCATGGTTAACTTCAAAAACATCGTCTTCTACAATTATTATTAACGGATAAATCGGCGTTATGTTTCTAAAACCGATTTTTGTAAACGCCATTTCGTTTGAACACACTTTTTCGCTAAAACTCTTTGTTAGAAAGACTCAGACGGCGAATATGCCAACTGTGTGACGGTCTCTTATGCTAATCATTCTCGACGGAAAATCCGCAGTGTTTAATATACCAACCTTAAATATTTTACCTGTAGGGTTGTACACCTTGAACACAAATAATCGCACGTGGTACAAGTTAAGTGTAACAATATGTGGTTTATTATATTATAGAATACAATATTAAACTGGGACCATGTACCGCAAGCGAAACAGATTAAATTTAATCCGTTTCGTCATGGCGAACATACGGTATTACTATTATATTCGCTGTTATAAGCATACATTACCACCGGTAGAGACAGTGGCGCCTAATTACCAGTTAAAAATCTCTCGATTAGATTCTACGGGATTTTAAAAAAAAT